AGACTTTTGTCAGGGACTGTATGTATATATGATAAAGATGGGTCTAAACTCTAGTCAACATCTGGATGGATTCTTTTTTTTAGTTTTTAATCAAGAATTGACTATATTCAAACTACAGTTCAAATCCTCCTGTGAGAATTATTCACATTCAAATATTGGTTTCCTAGATAAATGCCTTTCCGTTTGTGTCATGAATCACATATTCACTTATTGACTTGAATTGATTAAATTAGAAATGACTAATATTTCATAGAATTGGTGGATTTATGCTTTCGGTTTATGTCCTTTCTACCTGCAGTAGTGTTTTTCTCATGGCATAGACACATCCAACAGTCTGGTAGGTACTGAGGCTGGTGAATAAAAGTGACAACAGCTACTCAAATAAAGATATTTGGTGACTGTAATGAAAAGGAGAGCTTCAATCTGAAGCCTCACTGTGAGCTGTAAAGATGATTTGTTGGATAATCATGTGCCTGTAGAAGTTGTCTTTTCTTAATCTAACTTAATGGAGAATGTTGTCTCACAATGCTCATAACATTTAACTGTAAGTATTTGTACAACTTTGAATCATTTCATTTCTGCTGTAAAGGCACGATTATCAATATGTGATGACTAAGTAGTTTGTTGAGCATATTTGTTGGTTAATTTGTTGACATGTTTTATTGAATAATAATGATTTAAATGGTTGGTAAATAATTTGACCTGTAAGTTATAATAATAAAAATAAATAATCAATGTGTATTGTGATTATCTGTCTTGATCCTGAAGTTTACCAGCTTGAACTGGTTTTCAAGCCCACTTTCTAAACACTGCTTCAGGGCCGTTATTAATAACATGCATTACCACTTTCATGAGAAATGTACTTGAGGAACTTTACATACTCAGAAGTAAAGAAACAGCAACAGCAAATGGTATTCTGGAAAACTATGTTTATCACTTTTCAACCCAAGATGACCCTTGGATCCCACTGCACAAGTGTACCGTCCGAGAATAACGCAAATGGAAACAAAAACAACTAATTCAAAGCATTAAATGGGCACTTATTTTACGTAGATCCCAGATCAGTTAACTATTCTTATTTAATACTTAAGGCAATCTCCTGTGGCTCCAGAGGAGCTGTCTAAAAGCACAGAGCATAGAGAATAACCCTGATGTTACTTTGCACTGGGCTTGAGAAAGTCTGTTACCAGCTAAGTGTCTGGAGTTTGAAAGATGTGGACATTTGCCAGGGAGGGAAGTTTATATTAAAGAGGAATGACTTGTGGGAACTCGGATTCAGCATTTTTTGGGCTTGACCCATACTAAGGTCAGGATATCTTTCAAATTCTGTTTAATCCGTTTAACTTTGTGTAAGTGTACTTCTGAGTTGGCATGAACTAAATTTATGTTGATACTCAAAAGAAGCTACAGCAACAGTAATATTTTCTGAAACAAATAAATTATTTAAAAAAAATATTGAATTTAAATTAATTAAATGATTAAGTTTTACTTAAAAGGTTTTTAAAACTTATAAAATACTTGATTTATGGTGTTAGAAACATATCCAAGAAAAAAAAACATATATTTAAGATTAGCGATTGTTGGTCATTTTTGGATCTAAAACTTGTACTTAAATGTCACAATCTGTTTTTTTCTAATCAAATTAAAATGATCACGACCTTTCCTTGCTACCAAACATCATGAGACAGGTGCAGATCATTGACTGTATATATAAGGGGCAGACACCCTGCTGTCCATACAAGGAAATTCCTGTCTAGAGGACTGCTGTAAAACGAGTATTTGCTGCACATTACCTATTAAATTAAGCTTGTTTTAAACCAGATATATATGAACTGTACGAACTAGTGTGTAAGCGTGAATCACCAAGGTTACTAACATACAGTATGAGGACTGCCGGCTCTACACGCGGCCGGCCGCCGGCAGTTGGAGGGGTTGGACCGGGCCCAGCTCGTCGTAACTCCGCCCCACTCCTCCGTGGAGCTGCAGTCAAGGATGTTGGAAGAGAGGAAGAGAGAAAGAGGGAAGTAGTGACACACTGGTGGACAGTTAGTGTACAGTATCGTAGCATTTCGGACATATATATATACCGCCTGCTAATGAATAAAAACCCGGTCATTTCTACTTGGAGGTGAGTGGAATAAGACGTTCGTTTTACGACCGTTAAAGCCGTTAAAAGTTAGTTAACTTTAAAACGTTTGGGTCAACGGCCATTATGGACTTCATAACATAACATACTTACGTTAATATCTTAAAACCACCGTGTATTAGCTGGTGTACCCTCAGTGCTAATGTCAGTGTGTCGATGTTAGTGGTGGAAAGCTGTTTTATTTTTACTAAAAAAAAAAAAGGATAAAAATAACACACAGTCTGTGACAGTTACAATGTTAGCTTACTACGGTCGTCTTCATCCAGCCAGCCGCTGAAAGCATGCCTCGACAAGCCCTTTGTGTTGCTCTGCCCGCCGGGACAAATACCATAATTCATCTCAGATATCTTTCTCTTACCTCCTTACAGTTAATTATAGTCACCATGTGCCGACAAATCCATGTGTTGTTACACCCCTCCCATGTGTTTTTCAGTCGGATTCACACTCGGTGTTTCACTGGGATTTTAACCAGGAGTTCACTGAAACCGACTGCGGGTGTAATGGCTCGTTATAAAATCATATTGTTGGTGGAGACTTGCTGCTTGAAGGTGGCTGCAGACACTCAATGTAGGAATAACTGCTGTGTCCTTACAGCTGCCTCCTGTAGAGAGTTACTGTACCAGACTTTGTTTACTAGCAGTTTTGGGTCTGCTGAAGATAAAACCTTATCAGATATTCCTCTGAAGCAGAAACATATGTAGTCATAAAAAAGAGGAAGTGCCAGTTTTAGTAAACTTTATTAGATCTGTGGACTTACGAGTTCATTTCTAAACTGTATAATGAGATAACTGTGGGTTGTAGTGTGTGTGGTGCCTTCAGGTGCCAATACATGATACATTTTTCAGTGGAAATGTAAGTTAGTGTGTTTTTTTTTTTACGTATTCAACCACCACTGACGTGTATATACTTGCTTCATAAACATATGATTAATAGTGAAATCATGCTCAGAGTAGGCCTCCTGCAGGCCCTCACAGAGGTGGGCGGTGTGGACACAGTGATCATCACAGCATTACACTCACTAGTATTCAAAAGCACCACTGATTATTGCTTTGTTTTAGAGCGATAAGTGAAGGGGCAGACTTTTATTCTAGTTACTGTAGACACACTCGCGGGTGGGAAGGGTGAAAGTGTCAGTCACACGTTGCCCGTGTCTTAAAGATATACAAAGGCGGTGTTACAGATCAGTTTCTTTGGGGGATAATTGCTTCAAAAGTTGTTTATAGTGACTGTTTTATAGCTCATTAGTTTTTTTATTACATACAGTATTTCAGAAGCTTTGTCAAACCTGCACTGCACTGTATATCACACATCCTATTGTAACATTACAACAGAGAAAGGATAATTCATCTCATAACACATTTCTGACTAAATGTTTACCTTGAAGCAGTCGACATGTTACTGCAGTGTCATCGTCAATGATTAATTCACAACTTTATGACCTCATCCTACAGTAACAGTAAAGGCTGGTCTACACACGCTCGAGAAAGCAGTGAATAGTGAAGTGCTGTTTCACGGGGGGTTTTCATTACCGTCTATTTATCACATCACACTTTGTGTAAACGTAGGCTGTGTGCTGTACAACGAGCAGCTACGCGACTGCGGCGTCTGCCTGCGTCTGCGTGGTCGAGCTGGTACGTCGTTCGCACCTGTCCCTGAGTGAGCGGTCTGTGTGGAGGACAACTGTGACCCAGCGATAATCAAAGAGTTTCCATTCTGTGACAACAAGGAAACACGAGTTCAGCTAAAAGTTCACACACTTCATCAGAATCAGCGAGCAAGTTCGTCACTGTGACACAGTTCCTTTTATCTAAGGTGGATACTGCGCCTCCGTAATGTGTAGCTCCTCTCACTGCTCCTCATCATTTGGAGTTTGGAGAACCCGAGGCTTGTCCACATGTATTCAGTGTCCTCCAGTCTTGTCGCAGTGTCACCATCAAATCCTGTCCTCCCTTCTCTTCAGGGGGCTTTCCTTCCACGACCTTATCTGTTGTCAGCTGCAGCACCATACCACACCCATAAAACACTGTGGTTTTCTCCCTTTTATAAGGCCAACAGCCCACTGCTGTAGCAGGGGTATATCAAGCTGCTCGCCACGCTGCTGGAATTTCTTTCCCTGCACTGCCAGGCCAACCTTCATTCAAAGTGCGTGACACATTATCTTAAAATATTTGGACACCGGAAATGCTTTGAAACCCAAAGACTTGTAAACCTTAAAAGGACTTCTGTGGATACTCTGGCTTTGCTATGCAGCTCTGAACTGTGTACAGAGTAAGTTTGTGACTGTACATTTATTGTTGCACAGAAACGGCTCATTTTCTTCTACGTTTTCTTGCAAGATTCAGGAAGGGACAAAATGTCTTCACTCACGTTCTGTTCATTGGTGGCAGCGAGCGACTTTGTCTCTCTCACTTTTAACTCCAGGCCGGCCCCCACGAGATGCTCACAAACGAGCTGTTTAGGGTGGTGTCACATTATTATGCACACAATGTATGCACACACTTGTTGCACCAGTGACAGAACAACGTGACACAGTAGCTGTACTTTGAATAATGTGTGCACACAGCGTGTAAACATTAGTTATTTCAGTCACATCTTGAGAGGAGCTCTTGGACTGGGAACAAAGCTGAGGTGTTGCATAGGAGCTCGCTGTTACACAAGTCTGGGCAGGCAGGCCATCGGGAAATGTTTTAAAAACGTCCCTGGAACGGTTAGATTGAAGCCGAGGTCTTTTTTCAACCAAGATGCCTCAATCGT